TATAATATTCTTTATGCATTTGAAAGTTTGCAGTGTAAATGCATCTATGGCACCTCAGCTTCATCAGACAGTCTCTGTAAATACATCTAATGCCACTTCAGATGCAGCTTCTGTGTTTCCTGCAGTGGAAAGATGGAGTTTGTTGATACTGCTTTCATTTGAATGGTAACAACTCTAAAGTTTCTTATTATTCTAACTGAATTAATTAAAAACAATGTAAGAATTTGATGTGAAAGATGACATTTAATAAGGTTAGTGAAAAATGACAATTTAAGAAACAGTGGGAATAAATGACATCTGTTTTGTTAAATAGTACAGCAACTCCTTTTGAGTTAATTGTTATTTCTACCTTTTTTTCTAGTCACAGAGCACTTTATTTTGAGAGTTGTTTAAGTGAGAGAACATCTGTAACTTTGTCCAGATTGGGGGAATTGTAATGTTTATAAATGCCTCATTCATTCATTCATTCATTCATTCATGTTTAATAATTTTTTATTATGTAAATATTTTTTTGCATTAAAGAAAGTATAGATTTTTGTTTGTATATTATGTCAATTATAGTTTTTAGAAAGAAAATCGGAATCGGCAAAAAACTGTATCGGCAGGTCACACTTACAAAAAAAATCGGAAATCGGAATCGGCCAAGAAAATTGCAATCGGTGCATCTCTAGTCAAAATGATCGATTTTTCTTTTATGCCAAAAATCATTAGGATGTTAAGTAAAGATCATGTTCCATTAAGATATTTTGTAAATTTCCTATGGTAAATATATAAAAACTTAATTTTTGATTAGTAATATGCATTGCTAAGAACTTCATTTGGAAACTTTAAAGGCGATTTTCTCAATATTTTTATTTTTTGCACCCTCAGATTCCAGATTTTTAAATAGTTGTAACTCAGCCAAATATCCTATCCTAACAAACCATACATCAATGGAAAAGTTATTTATTCAGCTTTCAGATGATGTATAAATCACAATTTTGAAAAACTGACCCTTATGACTGGTTTTGTGGTCCAGGCTTACATATGACCAATGGCAGCTCAACTGTTGCGCTTAACACAAGAACAAACCTTATTGGTTCTTGGAGAGGCTCAAACATGTTTGCATGACATGTGAAAACTCAGAAATTCATTGGATTTCTTTAACAGTGTCTTTATCAACTTTTTTTATGTTTTAAAGTTTTGGTGGAATGGACTTTCAATGGAGGCACACTTTGGGGCGTATTAGTAAGAAACCATGTCAGATACAATAGTCTGAATTAAAAAAAAAAAAGAAAAAAATTTGATAAAATTAATTATTTTTTTTTTTTCATTTACAAGTTGCTTGTACAAAATAGCATAGTATTGTACAATTAAGATAAAATACATAATGACTGAATTTACTGCACATTCATAAATCGAACCAAAACAACAACAGCGAAAACACATCTGATGCACATTCTCTATTCATCATTTTGTAGATGTAGAGTTAAAAAGCGTGTTGAATTGTATGCATAAATGGTAAATACGAACTTCCCCAGTACGTGAATGCATCATAACTAAATGAGGACAGAATTTAAATTTTGGGGTAAACTAACCCTTTAATACAAAGGTTATAATCAATCCTCGCTATTATCCAGCCAAGGTATGTAATACTTGCTTGTTTGTCTGCATTTTTCTCTATTTCTCCAGGCTCCAGGAAGATGGAGCATAAGGGGAACAGCTGGCATGAGACCTGCTTTACCTGCCAGCGCTGTCAGCAGCCTATTGGAACCAAGAGCTTCATTCCTAAGGACAACAATAACTACTGCGTGCCCTGCTACGAGAAACAATTTGCACTGCAGTGTGTGCACTGCAAGAAGGTAAGAACCAGAATGCAACATTTTACATTGAATAAAAAGTATTATATTTGACATCACACCTTTATCACTTCCTCTCAGCCAATCACCACTGGGGGTGTGACCTACCATGACCAGCCTTGGCATAAGGACTGCTTCTTGTGTACTGGCTGTAAGCAGCAGCTCTCTGGCCAGCGCTTCACCTCTCGTGATGACTTTCCCTATTGCCTCAACTGCTTCTGCAATCTGTATGCCAAGAAGTGCGCTGCCTGCACCACCCCTATTAGTGGTATGAGCAACCAACACATTTACATCTCCTTATCTTTGGAAGGTGCTTATCAGGACCAAATGGAACCTAAACACAATTAACATCTTGTGATGAAACAGAATAGTAACAGAATCCTTCTATATTGTGACATATATCTGATTAAAACAGTTAATTAAAAAAATATATCCAATACTTTATTTCTTTATTACAAAAAAATGTTTTTGTTTGTTTGTTGTTTTTTTAAATCTTCGCCACTTTTTTCAGTGAAAGTGAATCAGGTTTTGGGCTATAAAACTGAAAATTGACAGAAAAACACCATGACTTTATTATAAAAGAAGTCCATATGAAAATGTGTGCTATATTCCTGGTGTTCTGAAGCCATACAATTGTGATTATCAGAATCAGAATCAGAATGAGCTTTATTGCCAGGTATGTTTACACATACGAGGAATTTGTTTTCGTGACAGAAGCTTCCACAGTGTACATCAATTATGTAAGAAACAGACCAAAATTGTCTATCACTTCTATCACTTTTATGATATTTCTATTGTGCTTTTTGTCATTTTGGAGATGTTGACAGACTATTTGAATTCTAATGTTAAATTCTAAAGTCCTACAGGTTTTGAATGACATAAGGTTGAGTAAATAATGATAGGATTATTTTGGTGTTGAAATCATGCCTTTCTGTCCTCAGGACCTGTATGAGTCTCACAGCAATCTTCTTGTCCACACTTTAGCAAACAATAGTCATATTTCCCATGATATTACTATCAGAGGCTTTGTTATTTGTTACTGTCATATCCTTTGCAGGTCTGGGAGGCAGCAAATACATCTCCTTTGAAGAGAGACAGTGGCACAATGACTGCTTCAACTGCAAGAAGTGTTTGGTGTCCCTGGTGGGCCGCGGCTTCCTGACGGAGAGAGATGACATCCTGTGTCCTGACTGTGGCAAAGACATCTGATCAGACAGCACAGCACTGCAATTTCTAACATTTTATTATTTTATTAAATAGCTTATATTCTTAGAGTTCATTAGCAAAGCTTTTATCAAAGGTAATATATTTGTCTAATAAAGTTCTCTTTAGATAATTAACTTTAAAGGGGCTTGTGCATGCCAAGGCCTATTATTATAATATTGTGTCATGATTTTGTGGTCGTTAGCCAAACCAAAAGAAACATATGCAGTGTGAAAATAATGTTTATTTTAGATATAGAGACATAAAGCACAAGGAATGTTACATTTTATAGTATACTTGCCTATTTTACCTTTTTTTGTGACTAACATTTGCTTTTGACTCATCAATCAATATATATATATATATCATTTATAGCCTGTGTGAAGAATTTGCTGGAGCTCATAATAAACTTCTTGAAAAGACATTCATGTAAGGCTCAGTACTGCTTACAGGAGATTGCTATAATAAAAAATTACTCCCATTCAATGCATTTAGTCTAAATATGCCTCAGCTGTTCCTTCTTATCTTTCAGTGAAACCCAAAGGTCTGATTCATCATGCATCTGTCTCTGTAGTTTATTAAAAGCAATGTAGGTTTATTATTCTCAAATCTCACTGGGGGTTGAATTTGGAAATATGGAAAATATTTCATAGATGGCAGTATATTAGTAATATTATTACAATGTATGTTTATTTCACAGACCCTACTTGCTAGTATTGATGTCTATTCTGACCTATTCCATGAATAATGCGACTACTCTGGCAGGCTACAAGAAGATAATATAGTGAAATTATTAAGATAGGTTTCCACCCTTACCAAGGAATATTATTATTATTATTTTACCATGGTTGTCTTCAGATGTTGGATCAGTAGATTACTGTAGAAGAAATTGGTGTATAACTCCCTCTTGTGGTAAAATGTTAAATTAAATTATCATCTGTTGTATGCAGAAAAATGTCCGATTCCTCAATCACATAAACTTAACGTTACATCTTTGTAGTAGTTGAAGTCCGTATTTAGCGACGTCATTATTATTATTTTACCATGGTTGTCTTCAGATGTTGGATCAGTAGATTACTGAAGAAATTGGTTTATAACTCCCTCTTGTGGTAAAATGTTAAATTAAATTATCATCTGTTGTATGCAGAAAAATGTCCGATTCCTCAATCACATAAACTTAACGTTACATCTTTGTAGTAGTTGAAGTCCGTATTTAGCGACGTTTTACCGAAAACAAACAAAAATAATGACATCAGAATTCACGTTTGATGTTCTACTGTTTATTATGTTGTAAAATAAAAAGTGAATCGAACCCGTAAATTAAAAATAATAATAATAATAATTGGAAATCCCGAAGGAGCCCATAACTTGAAAGTGCGGATGTTTCCTTAAAAAGGACTACAAACTTAAATATCTAACATTCTAACGAAACTCCATAAATTAAGAATAATTTACTGAATTTTTAAAGAACTTGTTTTCTGTTTTAACGACATTAATGCTAAAACTAAATGTATTATGCAACCCTTTTCGGGTTCAGATTTAATTATCTTAAACGCTTTCAAATAAAAAGCCAGCCCAGAGCACACCCTTATCACGTGGCCGGATGTAGTTCGGCGGAGAAACAGGAAGCGTTACCGCAGGGATTCACGTTTGATGTTCTACTGTTTATTATGTTGTAAAATAAAAAGTGAATCGAACCCGTAAATTTAAAATAATAATAATAATAATTGGAAATCCCGAAGGAGCCCATAACTTGAAAGTGCGGATGTTTCCTTAAAAAGGACTACAAACTTAAATATCTAACATTCTAACGAAACTCCATAAATTAAGAATAATTTACTGAATTTTTAAAGAACTTGTTTTCTGTTTTAACGACATTAATGCTAAAACTAAATGTATTATGCAACCCTTTTCGGGTTCAGATTTAATTATCTTAAACGCTTTCAAATAAAAAGCCAGCCCAGAGCACACCCTCATCACGTGGCCGGATGTAGTTCGGCGGAGAAACAGGAAGCGTTACCGCAGGGAGAGCGAGGGAGGTGGAGTGGGGCGCTTGAATGAAACGGGCAGGCCGTGAAAACACTGCCATCTCTCAAATCAGGACTGCACTGGCCACGGCTGGGGTACGATATGCGCTCGGCTTTCTTTAACATCACCTGCGCTCTCTGCATGCCGCACCACACAGACATACACACGACCAGACACGTAGGCTGTGTGTTAAACCCTAGCGAACTGTCTACCAGCACAGCTTTAATGGCATAATAGGCGCATATTCGAAAAAACCCAAAAGGAATATTTTTAGATGGGCATCTCACTAGGCTTTGAAACACAGCCATAGTCTCCCATGATCATCCGTGATCAAATCACTTCTGTCTGTCGTTCATATAAATACTCATACTGGGCTGGTGTGGATGTGAAGCTGGTGCTGGTGATTAAAAGAGGAATTAAGTGTTGATTCTTCTTGATATGGTTTTGCTAGCGTAGTCTTTGGCTGGTTTGACAGAAATGTATCTCGCATACAACTTTGTATTTCTAAAAATAAATACCTTTTGCGTTTTGTAGAGGAACGGGACAGGTCTGTAATGAACCTTTGTGTAATACAAACCACAGGTTGATAGGCACCTGTTTTTATGCTTGAATGTCAGAGCTGTGATTTATTGCTTTAGAATATGCTAAATCATACCAGTAAGTGACACGAATAAGCCATTTTGCGTTTCTGTTTACAATATTGTTCATATTTGTTGTCAGTGCATGTCTAAACTGAAGGTTTTGTTTCTGTTTTCTCTTTCTTGCCACATCTAGGCAAAAGAGACAACAGAAACAAAATCCTTTAGTTTAGACTTGCACTGACAACAAACGTGAACTAAATTATAAAGCATATTTTAAAGACATTATATTAATAACAAAAGCTGAAATAATAATAACAAAATGTTTAGTTTAGACTTGTACAGAAAGACAGAAAAGGAAATGTTCATTATATTGTCTGCATTCTTTTTAATGTCTATAATATTATATTATTTAGATTAATGTGTTTATAATATGCTTTGTAGTACAGTTTTGCACATATTTGTTGTCAGTGCATGTCTAAACTGAAGGGTTTGTTTCTGTTTTGCCACATCTACAACAAGAGAAACAAAACCTTTAGTTTAGCTTGCACTGACCACAAAATAAGCATTTATTACTATACATTTATTATTATAAACTTTAAGTTTGGACTTGTACAGCAAGACAGAGAAACTCTTTACTTTTTAACGTTTTTTTTTTTGTCTTTTTAACATGTATATTTTTTGTTTTTTATTATTACAATTATTATAATTAATTATAAAATGTCTTTATAATGTTCTGTATAATATTGCTCATACTTGTCAGTGCAAGTCTAAACTTAGACATTGACTTTGTCTTTGTTTTCTCTCTCTGTAGATGTGGGTGGCATCATGAGCGTGAAAGCTTTTGAGCTGGTTCCCGCCGTGGAGCGGGAGCAAGTGATGGGTGAAAAGGTGCGGATAAACATCGAATGCATAGAGTGCTGCGGCAAACACCTGTACCTTGGCACCAATGACTGCTTCATCCATCACTTCCTACTAGAGGAGCACACTACAGCCAAAGGTAAGCTGGCCTATAATGTCCAGAAGCTCCTCCACAAATACCTGGGCCTGAAAAAGCCAGTGGCAGAGCTGAAGGCTGCCTCTGCGTTGGAGCGTCTAATTGTCCTCTGTGACTCAAGCATCACTGTTGTGGACATGGTTACTCTGGAGCCTGTACCCACTGGCGGCACAAAGCTCAAAGGTGTGACTGCGTTTTGTATCAACGAGAATCCAGTGACGGGGGACGCGTTCTGTGTGGAAATGGCAGTGGTTTTGGCACGCAGACGGGCCGTCCAGATCTGTACGGTCCATGAGGACAGAGTGCAGATGTTAAAGGAAGTGACCACACCAGAGCAGCCCTGTGCCCTGAGCCTGGACGGATACAATATCTGTCTAGCCCTGTCCACGCAGTATATGATTCTCAACTACAGCACAGGAACCTCTCAGGACCTGTTCCCTTATGACTGTGAAGAAAGGAAACCCATTGTGAAGAGGATTGGCCGGGAAGAGTTTCTCCTGGCTGCTCCAGGCGGGCTTGGTGAGTTAAATGACCAAAGATGGCATTGATCATTATGTACACATTGACCTTCTATTCGAATTGTAATATAAGCTTGCGCCAGCAGGAGGCTTTTCTTTTCCTTATTGAAACATTTTAGTCATCAATGATATTTCGAGGATCTTCACTGGAAGTTTTCAGTCAGATCTGTGACTGAATATTTAGATATTGTCATAACTTTTATGGTTTAGGTCAGGAGATATTAATATAAATTAAAAATATGTGCTTGGATAAATATAACATTTCATTCTGAAATATGTTTATAGTAAAAATAGATTCTGCTGTCAGTGGAGTGCAGCAGTGATGACTTTTGTTGTAGGAAATTAAGTTTATGATTCTTACCATCAAGATAATCTTTACAAATAAATAAAGCTACACGTAAGCTATAAAGGAACAACACCACGGTCGCATGACTAACGTCACCACCATTACCGTTAAGCTTCCGACAGCTCCTTCAGTCTCCATTAAAAAATCCTGGACAGTTTGAGTTAGAATTGTTTGCAAGAGTGTGATTAGTGAGAAGATGAGTTTACCTGTTTTGCTTGATGTTAAATGTCCCCACTTTAGCCACTTGTAAGCAACCGGCTTTTTCAAGACAATTACTGATGAAGTTAATGTTGAAGAATAAAACATGAAAATATCTTGTGCTTATGTTAACCATAGACCTTATTTCAGGCTTTTAACCAAAAACCCATTTAAAACCCCATTGACTTCAGAATAATGGAACCATATATGTGAAGTGGTTGTGGCTTACAAAAATGTCACCTCTGCAAGAGATGCAAGCCAGTACTCCCCCTTTTGGACTTTGGAAGATAGTGTTTGTGGTCTAAATTCTCAGTGAGAATCCCTTTATATTCGCACTAGTGCATTTCAGAAGGAAATGCCTGAGGACTCTGTATCATGAATTGTTTTCTATGGCGAATGCATCTATTATTTGTTTGTTTGTCATTTTTATTATAACTTTAGCCGCACCCCACCCGAGATATGAATCTGTCTTCTCGGCTATGTCTGTTGTCATGGCAATCACTCGTGATGAGTCATACATCTCTGTATCTTTATCTCTCAGGGATGTTTGCTAACGCGGAGGGCATATCTCAGCATGCTCCGGTGAGCTGGTCAGAGAGCGTGATTGCGGCGGCTGTGTGTTTCCCGTATGTGGTCGCTCTGGATGAAGGCTTTGTGACAGTTCACAGCATGTTGGACCAGCAGCTCAAACAGACGCTGTCGTTCAGAGATGGACACCTTTTACAGGATTTTGAAGGTAAGAGTGCTGTCCCATACATTTACCATTTATTTCATCCTTACACTGTATTAATTGTTGGTACTGGTGACATTTAGGCACAGTGTACCTATTTGGCATGTAGTCAGTCATGAAAATATGGCTTTCCAGCATTCCAGAGCCAGAAAAGATTTATTGACAATTAGACTGGACCTACAGTAGAAACATAAGGCAGGACAGGATATTGATAGACTGTGTTTTCAATTACATCTTGTTAAATGTGGTGGTCTGCTCTATTTATAGCATATTCACAGTCAAGCAAGTCACGCTCTCTGCATTCTTTGAGGTGAAAACTATGACTTCTCTCTGATGATGTATGCAGAACGTCTCCAATCATTTGTTTAGTTGGGCTTCAACTCAGATTTTCAGTGTGGATAAATATGATGCTTTGAGGAAAGCTGGTACCCGTAGTTACAAGTGATCATTACCTTAAAAGTAAAAAAAACAAAACAATATCTGACATTCAATATCTGACATTGAACATAACGATGGCTAGATATCTTGCAAAAGGCCAAAAAGGCAACCTCACGGCATGCACGCTTTATTAAAAAAAAATCGTACATACTGCATCTTTAAGTGTATTCTGCAAAACAAAATAACAGTTCACACAAATGTACTGTTCCAAAAAATGTCATTTAGCTTCAATGAAAAAAATAAATAAAAACACAACAAACAATGTTTATGAACATGGTTTAAAAAAAAAATGCAGTGGACATGTAAACAGAACAGACCTATATATCTACCTTTTCTGTTTTTAAATACACATTCACAGATTACGGTAAAACTACCAAATGTCGAATCATACTGTTTTTGTTTAGTTTTTATTGCATCAGTCTAAATTATTTGCAAAATAGACTGTTAGTCTCAATCCCAGGTGTCATCGCATTGATTCAGTCAGACAACTCCTTTCCAAACTGAATCAGCTCATATGATCAACTTACTTGGTGAATCGCAGGTTATGATTTAAACATGAAAAATATGATAAAATTCTGCGCCAATTAAGTAAAATAAAAAAAAGTTTATAATTGGGTGCGTAGATTTAATCAATAGAGAAAAATACAAAAAGCAAAGGCAAAAAATCCGCACACCAAACAAAATGCAAAGTTCATTTAGGGCTGGACAATAATGCAGTATCAATATGTATCGCGATATAATTTTTTTCAATAACGGTGAAATGATTTTTAAACACATTTCCGATATTTCGATGTACATTACCAGTTTCCCATACATTGATTTATTTGTGCCGTTTGACTTTGTTGAATAAACATGAGCACTGCACGTTTCAAAATCATAACACGGCGCGGGTGTTTTATTTGTCCTTTGAACAAAAATGTATTCCTGAAGATTTACTAAGATAGCACTGAAGATAGTCTAGCAAGGACTGAAACATTTGCTTTTTGTGTGTTTACGGTCACTTTTTTGTTTGTGCACTTTAGTTTTTGTTGTAACCCTCACGTAAATTTTCAGGAATACATTTTTGTTCAGTGGACTTTGAACTTTGCATTTCGTTTGGTGTGTGTTTTTTTTTGCCTATGATTTTAAAGAGGCAAATTTGGAAGGGTAGTAAAGAGTTTCAGAAGAAAATTGTCAAAAACAAAATCCTGTACGAAACACTGTAAAGAAACAGCAGAAATGGCACTGATTTAAACATTTCAATATATATTTAGATGTCAGGTGTCTTAGTTGGTATTCCTTCAGATTGCTAGTGCTGCAGTCTACTGTTTTACCAGTATTGATTTCTCTGAAGTGCTGAGGTAAATTTCCCTACAAAGCAGCAAGGAAATGTTCTCCTGTCAAGTCTTGCTAAAGCTTGATAGGGCTTGAATCAGGATGAAGAAGAGAATGAGTCTGGTTATTTAATAAAGCAAGCAGTGCAGAGAATGTAGTGAAGGCAATTTACTCAGGAGCTCCTGATGTAATGTGTTATGACAAGCTCAGATCAGGTCAGTCTCCATACGTCTCACGTCTAAAACTCATTATTGTACCGATCACAAGCTTGATTATTTTTCAGTTGATAAATCATGTACGACCACCGGCACTCACACATTCTCGTGTCTTATCAATGTGCTGTACTTTATGCTAGAGCATTTGTTTTCATAAATGCGGCTTGTAGTGGTGTTTTATGTAAACACCTGTCATCCCTTTCATATCACTCAATGTTCCTCAATGCTTTGAACTATAGGTACATCAGCTATAGCATTCAAGTAATGCAGTGCTCAAAGTTCTGATAATAATCAGCTAATGAATGTCTTTTTGTGTCCACTTTATAAAGAACCTCTAAATTCTTTATTTCTGATGCCCTCTCTCAGGTAAGGTGGTGTTGGCCTCTTCAAAAGCGGTGTATATACTGGTTCCTCTCCCTCTGGAGCGTCAGATCCAAGACCTGTTGGCAAGCCATCGAGTCGAAGAGGCCCTGACCCTCACCGAGGCGGCACAGAGAAACATTCCCAAAGAAAAATATCAGGTACACCAAACTGATCTGGCAAACTGGTGAAGAAACAAGAGTGTTTCTCTCAATTGGGGAAAGGATTTTAATTGGCGATTTTCTCTTTTTATGTTGTAGATATTGCACAAAAGAATTCTCCAACAAGCAGGATTCATCCAATTTGGCCAGCTTCAGTTTTTAGAAGCAAAAGAGCATTTTAGGTGAAGTGTATCATTTTGTCATGTAATTAATACTGTTAATTGCCGCTCAGACCCAGATGTTTCAGAGGATGACTGAACGGAGTTAATTAACTTCTTTGCTAATTGCTTCCTATCCCTCTGTGCACCTGACCCTAATCGCCGTATGCTAATGGATGGAGAACAGTAACTTGCCTAACAGCTGAATAAATGGCCGACATAAATATCAGTGGATCTACCATGTTGAATTCTGCATGTATTTTAGGTTTCTACATCTATCATACAGCAAGAACTAGTAATCTGTTTAAATCACTGATTGCTTATACTACTGTAATTTTATTTTTTTAAAATAATAAAACAGCAAAATAAATGCAATAAAATAATAGCTTAGTAATAATAATACACTATATCAGACCCTTTAAAAATATCAGTTTTTTTTTTATTTTTTAAATTTAAATAAATGTAGCTTTTTCTGATGCCCATTTTAGGAAAGGACAGCTGGATGTACGGGAGCTGATCGCTCTTTATCCGCTGCTCCTTCCCGCCTCTTCCTCTTTCACGCGTTGCCATCCACCACTTCATGAATTTGCTGACTTGAACCACCTGACGCAAGGAGACCAGGAGAAGGTACAGCGCTTCAAACGTTTCCTCATTAGCTACCTGCACGAGGTGCGTAGCAGCGACAGTGCTAATGGTTTCCATGAAGATGTAGATACTGCATTGCTGAAGCTCTATGCAGAGACCGGCCACGAGAGTCTCCTTGACTTGCTGGCCTCCGATAATGCCTGTGTCCTGGCAGACAGCGCCCCCTGGCTGGAGAAGCATCACAAGTGGGTACTCGCTTTTATAATCAGAAGATTACATCCAGTTTTGACAGTTTATTTTTGCAAGAAAACTAAAGATGATGTTCCAAAGATGATGCTTGCGACACCTTTGCTGAGCATCACATTTTGTAGTATTTTGGTTGGTGTCTCATAAACCATCATGATGCATTAATCATTCATGCCCTCTGTCCTTTTATTCACTACAGTTACTATGGCAGTGCATGAATTAAAGCTTTAATAAATGTCAGTGTTTGACAATGGTTAACTTTTGCTACAATTCTTAATGTGTGTAATTTGACTGTAAATGTTTTTTTTCTCTGTGTTCAGGTATTTTGCTCTTGGGCTTCTGTATCACTACAACGGTCAAGATTCTGCTGCTTTACAGGTGAGATCTGATTGCTGATGTGCTGTTTGATTGTGACAGCTTAGCCAAAGTTTACTGCCAATGTTAGTTCACCCAAAAATGAAAATTCTGTCATTAATTACTCACCCTCATGTCGTTCCAAACCCGTAAGGTCCTGACCTTCGGAACACAAATTAAGATACTTTTGAGGGAATCTGAGAGCTCTCTGACTCTTTGTAGACAGCAATGCAACTGCAATGTTCCCAGGTCCAGAAACGTAGCAAGGACATCAGTAAAATAGTCCATGTGACATCAGTGGTTTAACCATTACGTTATTATTGTTTTATTTGCGCACAAAAAGTATTCTCGTAGCTTCATAAAATTACGGTTGAACCACTGATGTCACATGGACTATTTAAAGGATGTCTTTACTACCTTTCTGGCCTTGAACGTGGTAGTTGCGTTGCTGTCCATGCAGGGTCAGAAAGCTCTCGGATTTCATTAAAAATATCTTAATTTGTGTTCTGAAGATGAACGAAGGTCTTACGGGTTTGGAACGACATGAGGGTGAGTAATCAATGACAGAATGTTCATTTTCATCCCTTTAAATGCTATTTAATATCATCATATATGATATGACATAATATGTGGCATGCTGTTGATTACTACAGAAAAAAATATTATTATAGTTCTTTAGTGTCACATCTGATCCAGCATTCTAATATGCTTATTTGATGCTCAAGAAACTTTTTTTATAGTTACCAATGTTGAAAACATTTGTGCTGCTTGTTTATATTTTTTGTGGAAACCATGATGCAATTCATCAAAGAATTCTGGAAAAAAAAAAGGAACAGCATTTATTTGAAATAGAAATATTTTGTAACATTATAAATGTTTTTACTGTCACTTTTGATAAATTGAACAAGTTCACTGAATTACAGCATTAATTTCTTTAAAAAAAATAACTTTTTCACTTTTTAAAATCACTTTTATGCTTTGTTCACTTAAATTCACACACTTAAAGGGGTCACATGACGTTGCTAAAAAGAGCATTATGTTGTATATTTGGTGTAATGCAATGCGTTTATGCGGTTTAAGGTTAAAAAAACACATTATTTTCCACATAATGTACATTATTGTTGCTCCTTTATGCCCCGCATTTCAGAAAAGCGTCGATTTTTACACAGCTCATCATTCTGAAAAGCGAGGTGTACGCTGATTGGCCAGCTATCCAGTGCGTTGTGATTGGCTGAATACCTCAAGCGTGTGACGGAAATGTTACGCCCCTTAACATACTGTGATGCCGTCTCACGCTGCGATGAGACAAAACCAATAAAACCCATTACAAACGAGGCATTTG